CGGTTACAAAGCCAAATGGCGCACGGCCGGCCAAGAGGAGCCGGGTGCGGGGATCGGAGATCCGAGATCACCTTTCAAGGTGCCGGAGGACGAGGGGATGTGGCCACACCCCCTCGAGATGCTCCCTCGGCCACCACCACCACCAGAAACAGTCCTGGGGGGCTTGAGGTGGCGGTGGCAGCACCCAGGAACCAAAAATAGTGCTTGCTGCTGCTGAGTTCAAGGTTTAATCCCAGCCACACAGGCTTAGCAGCCGGCGGGGGCTGCCGAGTGGATTTGGCTTTACGTAAGCAGTGCCCGGGCCCCCAGCCCTCCCTTACCACCCTGGGGGCAGATTTTCATGCTTTTGCAGAGCTTTTACTGCCGTGGGGTATTTTTGTTGTTCCCCTTTCCTGCTTCTGCCCATGTGTCCCTGCTGCTGCACAGGGCTGCCACTGCCCGAGCAATGGCCCACACGCTCCCGCAGCACGGCATCTCCAACACTGGGAGGGGGATAGGGCTCCCTGGTGCCCACCGGGTTCCCGTGGGACAAGTCCCTGTGGTGACCGTGCTCCTGAGGAACTGGCCAAACCAGCTGTGGGTGGGCCACGATGCCACCCAAAGTCCCCCAGGTTGAGGACATGCAGCTGGCATGGGGTCCTGCTGTGGATTGGGGGGAACCCCTCAGTAACCCTGAGTCCCTCTCCCACCGCTCCCAGGTTTCAGAGGCAGCTGTCGGAACCCTGCCACCCCTTCCCAAAAACCGGGGGTGCGGGGGGCCGCCCGCCCCGTCTACCACCGGCAGCTGTCGGAGCCCCTTGGCCCCGTCACCCCCCGCCCTGCTCAGGGATTCAAGCAGGAGTACCATGACCCGCTCTACGAGCACAGTGGCCCTGGCCTGCCCGGCCCACCCAGCCACAGCTTCCAGCCCCCCATGGGCATCAAGCAGGAGCCCCGGGACTACTGCATCGACTCAGGTGGGTGCAAGTCAGGGGAAGCAACTGGGTGCCGGCGCTCAGGGGGGGTCACAGGTTACACCAGTGACGCCTGGGACCGTCTCTGCCATCTGCAACGGGTGCCATGTCACCCTGGGGCGCCTGCGGTGCTGGGCTGCTGCTCTACCTGCACTGGTAGATGGTAATCTCTATTTTTCTTCTCTTTTTTCCCCCTTCTCTTCCCAAAGCCAAGGGGTACAGAGCAGGCATTCACCAGATGCCACACGGTGTGGTCTGGGGTGCCCTGTGGCACCCAGCGGGTCCCCCCACAGACCTGGCCTGGGGCCAGCTGTGGTTTCTCGCTGCTGGATCCTCCCCCAACCCCAGCATCACGGAAAAAATCCTCTAATCGCCTTAGTGCCTAAAAATACCCCGACCTCGGCGTGAAGGGTGGCACGGCCGAGCAGATGGCAGGGAGGGTGCAGCAATGCCGCCCTTCCTGCGGGGTCCAAAAAACACCAGAAAAACCCAAGCTGGCTTCAGCCACGCTCCCGGTGCTCATCCCAGTGCCCCCTGCCCCATAAATCAGACTGGTTTCCCCCAAAGTTGGGTGTGCCGGGGGGAAGAGTCTGGTGGGACTTGGCCACAGGACATGCTGGGTTGAGGGGAAGATACTCCCAAGCACTTGGTGGGCCCCCCAGGCCATGTCCTTCATGTTGCTTTCCTCTTCCTCACAGAAGTGCCTAACTGCCAGTCCTCTTACCTACGGGGGGGTGTCTTCCCCAGCAGCCACGATGGTGAGTGGGCATCCCTGGTGTGTCCCATCCCATCCCATCCTTCCCATGGGGCAGGCAGACCCCTTCACTGTCTGGCACCCCAAAAACACCCACGAGAGCCAGCATGCAGCCCCCGCAAGCTGCATGCTACACAAGGGCACAGCAGCGCCGCGCTGTGTAATCCAGGATAACATGCCTGATATAGCAGCTAAGAGGGTTTTGGTTCCCCACCAGTTCCCTGGGGTGGGGGATGGGGACGACACAGAGCTGTGTGGCCTCAACCCATGAGCTAGGTGCGATGCCACTGAAAAAACTGGGGGCAGGGTCTTGGGTTGGGTCATGTCAGGGCTTTTTTGGAGTCTGGCTGGTGTGGCTCACCGAGGATCTTTTTCCCCCTTAGGATTTTCGTATGAAAAGGACACACGATTGTATTTTGATGACACATGCGTGGTGCCAGAGAGGCTGGAGGGTAAGAATCCAGTCCTGGAGGAGGGCCAGGGGGGTGCACAGGGCTTACAGACCAAGATCTGGGGTATCATCCCGCACCGCTGCTCAGCATCACTGCCATGCCCGGTCCCTGTCCCTGCCGCCCACCCAGCACCACGCTGTCCTTCAGCCCCGTCCCCAGTGTGGACGTTCCCCTCTCCAGCGCTGGGGTCTGATCCTGCCCAGGGGGTCCCAGTGTTGCCGTAAGTGTCCCCTGCGGGGTGGCACAGCCCAGGAGAGGAGCAGAGCTGTGGGGGAGGATGTTTACCCAGCCGTGTCTCTCTGTGGGCAGGTAAAGTGAAGCAGGAGCCCACCCTGTACCGTGAGGGCCCTCCCTACCAGCGGCGGGGGTCCCTGCAGCTCTGGCAGTTCCTGGTCCCCCTCCTGGACGACCCCGCCAATGCCCACTTCATTGCCTGGACCGGCCGGGGCATGGAGTTCAAACTGATCGAGCCTGAGGAGGTATGGGGGGTCCTGGCCCAAGAGGGGCTGTGGGGTAAGCTGGGGGGCTGAGGGGATGGATGCTCTGTTCCCAGAGTTGTCAGTGTTGCCCAGACTTGCTGCTCGGTCGTGGCTCCCTCCCTAACAAACTGCTCTGATCCCTCGCCCCTGGTGTGGAGCCGTGCCGGAGCCGCTTGGCTCTGCAGGAGGGGGACACAGAGGAAGATGCTGTTTGGGGAGTAATTGAAAGCAGCTGTAGCGCCGAGCTGCGCATTGTGGGTAATTACCCATAATATCTCTTACGCCGTGCATGGAAATTGTGGTTTTTTGGAGCGGCTCTTTTGGCAGGCTCCCTTAATCAAATGTCTTTTGATTCAGCCCC